GTGAGGCCACGAGGGAGTCTGTTACAAGGAACTTCCGTAGGGTCTCACCGATAAGGAGGGAAGAAGAAAGCAATGGACAGCTGGGTCAGGAGAGAGAAAGCAGCAAGGAAGTCAGTGTCTGCCTTTTGCAAAGAAATGACACCTCAGAGAAGCTAAGTGTCCTGCCCCAACCAGTAAGTCAAAGTCAAAGAATCTCCCCAGGATAGTTCTCTGAGGGTGACACATCGGGCTCAGAAAGAGACGGAGGGAAGGCTTATATAGTTAAAGACAAAGGGATGAGATACTTCTCCCCTATGAGAAATGTCAGCCGTGAACACCCCAGGTGGAGGAGGGGAGGGGAAGGGCCGGCTTAGGGCTCACGGTGCTTCCTGAAGCGCCCGGCAAAAAACAGCATGACTGTAGCGATGTGTCTGCAGCCAGCACCCATGAGGCCAGAGGGCTCACTGAGGTTTAAAAAAAGAAAAAGAAAACTCTCTGAGAAGGAAATGTTGGGTACTAGGAGAGATATGAAGAGAGCCAGAATGTTCTGGGGTTTACGAGAGACTGCCAAAGGCTTCATTCAACACACAGAAGCCAGTTCATCCAGTGGGTTGGGGAAGGGCAGCCCAACTGGAGTTGGAAGGGGGGGTCACAAACCCATAAAAAAAAAAGGGGGGGGGGAAGTGGGACTATAGTTGGTCATTGCTCCAAAGAGCAGATGGGACAAAAGTCCTCATGAATGAGATGGCCAAAGGCGGTGAAAACAGGCCCAAATGAAAACCAGGAAAAGGCAGGGGAAGAACACTCCACAGAGCAACGCCCTCTCTTCCCCTGTGACATGTGCACACCCCTGAGTGCTTTAAAGGACCCAGTCGGTGAAATCCCCCATGAAGCCCCCACTGTCCTCTCTAGAGGTGAAGGCGCCGTCTCTGCCCACTAGAATCCCAGGGGCGCCCCTCGAGCCCTCTGCCCCAGCCCACCCCTCCCCCACTTCCGGGCAGACGGGGCTGGGTCAGATCCGCCCCCTCCTCCGGCGGCAGGCCTGCAAGGTGCAGATCCCGGCTCTGGGCAGCAGCACGGGTGCTCACGAGGCAGAGAACAGGACCCGAGTTCAAGGGCACTCCTTTCTTGACTCCCTGGTCCTCCCAAATGCACCTTTTAGAAAAGCACCTCCCACTTAAGGACAGAAAAGAACGGAGGGGAGGGACGCGAAGGAGACAAGACAGGAGAAGAGAGACGGAAAAATCATTGTAATTTTCTCGCAAGAACTAGAGCAATTTGGGATTTCACGCCCTTTTGAAGCTGAATGGCATCTACTGAACTGCACTGGGTTTTGAAAGCTCTGACGTGGGTGGGAGGGGACTCTGCCTGAGCACCCTTCCTACCAGTCAGCCTGCACGGCTAGGCCCCGGTGGAGTAAACTCCCGGGTGAGGAATGCGGAGCCCTCCTGGCACCTGCCTGGCTCACTCCTGCTGAGAGCTCAGCAAGGCCAGCGACGCAACCACCCCCCCCCTCCCCGAGGCCAACCAAGCTTTCCAACGGGCTCAGCACCCACGGGCTCCTAGAGAGAAGCCTGAGCCTCACACCCTCGCCATCAGCGCCACGGGCCCGGCTGGGCAGGAGGCCTTCTCCCAGCGGAGTGAAGGGCAGCATTTCCCTGACTAGCAAAGCAAACGAAGGTCTGAGAAAGGGTCAGCGGAAGTTCCCTCGCTTCAAATCTTTCCTGTTTCCTTTTGCCCCTGCTTTCACCACCACGGGACTCAGCATGGTCTAGAGTGGTGTGCCTAATCTGGATGGAATTTCCTCCTCCACCCACCTGGCATTCTCCCCACGGTCTCGAGCGTTCCCGACCAGGGCTTTTCACCGCCATCCCCACGTGCTGGTCTAGGTGACCATGCCCCTTGCCACTGTGGAGCGCCGGCTAGAGAATCGTGGGGAACCTGCTGCAAAAGTCCCAGTTGGAAAGGAATGAGTCATCGCTACCAGTTGGCAAAAGCCCTGCAGAACCCTCGTGTTCCCTACCTTGGTACGATGCAGGGGCTCAGAACGGATGGGAGGGCAGGGTGGCTGGACCCTTCATGGGGTAGTAAGCACTCACACTCCACCCCTGGGGACTGAGAGAAGAAGGCACAGGAAGAAGCAGTGAAAGTTTGCGGAAGGTCTTCCAAATAATGCTTTAAGAATCACAGGCTGGGGCGCCTGGGTGGCGCAGTCGGTTAAGCTTCCGACTTCAGCCAGGTCACGATCTCGCGGTCCGTGAGTTCGAGCCCCGCGTCGGGCTCTGGGCTGATGGCTCGGAGCCTGGAGCCTGTTTCCGATTCTGTGTCTCCCTCTCTCTCTGCCCCTCCCCCGTTCATGCTCTGTCTCTCTCTGTCCCAAAAATAAATAAACATTGAAAAAAAAAAAAATTTAAAAAAAAAAGAATCACAGGCTGTCGCGACTGGAGCTCAAGAGCCATTCGTGCCCATCAGGTTCAGTGTTCTTCATACTTTCTGGGGCCATAAACCCCAGTCGGAAGAGCGTTTTGCACAGCCAGCCAGGGAATACACACACACACACACACACACACACACACACACACACACACACACCAATTTCACTAAGCAACACTCTCCTTACTGCATGGCACACGCACTTAAATTCTGAACTCTCACCAATCTGTCTTTCTTAAAATGTTGATGCCATTAATGAGTCACAACGCACAGTTTGAAAAACACAGGTCATTAAAATGACACGGGGGGGAGGAGGGGATGGGACTTCTCGAGAAGGCGTAGTGAACATAATACTTTAAGGCATTAGTAAGGCTGGCCTTCTGCCCCTGTGACCACAAAAGCAAGGAGGACAGGCTCAGTGGTGAAAGCAGCCAGCACCAGGTTCCATGATCCCCACCATCTAGGACAGAAAAACTAGAAAAAGCAGGCCCACTCCATACTCTCACTTAACGTCACATGATCAAAGTTCAAACTGTGTGCCTTATAAAATTAAAGAAAACGTTTTCTTCCAACCTACAGTTCACACTGACTTGGCTTCAACTGTGATAATTATTGGGAATGTCAAGTATCATAAAGGAGGACGATGGGTGTTCTGTGTACATACAAAGGGGGACAGGTTAAGAATGGGGAGACATACTGAACTGGTCCACTGCCCCCACTTTCCAATGACAAAACTAAGGCACAGAACAGTGCCTAAGTCATGAAGCAAGTTAGGGGCAGGGCTGCAAACCCGACCTAGGGCTTCTGACTCCATTACTCACAGTCTCCATCACCCAAAACATTTAAGCACACAGTCGAGGTCTCCCCAAATGGAGCATTTGTCCATGACTGAAGCATGGACGCATCCCTGATAGGTCATGCTGGGTACGGACAATTCTGCTGATCTTGGCAGACCTTGGCACTCTGCTGCAGCCTCCCCTGGGCTCATGCGATGATTCATGCCACTTAACTTTCTCTGTGCCTTTTTTCTCAGCTGAAATATGAAAAGAATAATCCTTGCTACCCGCTTCCGGGAAAGTGGTGGTGAAAAGCGAGGTGCTCTAAAAGCAAACCTGCATGCTAAAAACCAGAAGAACTCCTTAATGATTAGCTAACCCAGGCCTTCAGTTTACAGTCAAGCCCCGTAAGGCGAGTGACTTATCTAGGACAGCCAGACCAGCTCCAGCTACCGCATGCACCCTGTTACCTCTATCCACAGGTGAAAACTGCTAAGTAAAGTAACACTAAGTACACAGTGACATCTGTAGCCAAACAGACAACGTCTACAGGGCAGGAGGAGGGGCAGGGAAAAAACTAAACAGAACACACAACTTAAACATGTAAGACAAATGCCTCTTTAGGGTGTTGAAAAGGGAATTGAAAAGGCATGACTAATTATTTCTAATCCTAAAGATAAGCTACAGTGATGCGCTAAAGCAAACTCCGCAAAATCTCTGAAACGGTAGAGTTCCTCGATAGAACGTTCATCTCTGAGATGCTGTGGGTCTGGTGCCTGCTCCAATAACACCTCCCTGCCCCTAACTTTTTAGATACTCTGTCCAAAGGCACTGGAGACAACAGCTTCAAATATGGGAAATTTTATTACATGTGAGGGATTCTTTGCTATACAAATGCCACCTGGTATCTGTCCAGGGTCTTCCCTGGAGAAGCTTTGAAAGCCTAAGAGGCAAGATCTCCCCGCTGCCCTCCATAACCCTGGCAGCAAGGACCATGCCCTTCATTCCCTGCTGGGATGCTGGACGAGCCAAAGGTGTGATGGCTCAGGCTCAGCGGCACAGTTAAAGGCTTGGACCTCACCTTTCCTCAAAGGCTCATGCTTTCTCTCACTGCATTGGTGTCTATCTGTCCACTGACGGCTAGCTCTAGGAGAGCTGTCCAGTGCAGGGAAAACCCTCTGAGTCAGACATTCTGGTCCTCACACCTCCAGTGTGGGGCCAGCATCAGCAAGAAGATAACAGCTGCAGTGAGGGAGCGCTGTGAGCCCTGCCTTTCAAGATAATTGCCACCAAAGGACACTGGGGCTGGAGTCCGAGGAGGCAGGTGGAGTATCAGCCTGGTAGGTTAATCAGTTCGCTATCTCTTTGCCTCAGTTTCTTCATCTGTCAATCCCTGGGTTGCTGGCTGAATTAGTGGAGTTATGCTTACAAAAGTGCAAGGTGTCAATACCCGTATTACCTTCCTGCCACTCGGTGTCCTGGATAGGCGGACAGAAGGCAGCTCTCGGTCTAACAGGAAAACTCCTGGCTAACGCTGCCTCCTTGCAGAAATGCATGTAAAACTACCTGGGGAAGTGACGGGTAAACCGAGTGCCTATTACACAACCCACAGTAAGAGTGGTAGAGCTCACGCTCTCCTTGCCTGCCCGCCTCCCTGCAACAAAAAGAGAAGGCAAATGTCAACGCAGGGCTCGCTGCCTCTAGGCTGCTCAGCTGCCCGAACTCCTGGGGAAGAGGTGCAGAAACCCCGTGAGAAGGGGATCACCTAAGGGCGTCGCTGAACCGGTATCTCCAAGAGAGCTGCTAAGGACCAAGAGAACCCCTACCACTCCTACGCCTCCCCAGAAACCCGGGGAGCAGGAGCAGGAGCAGAAGCACACTCGGGCCAGAGGGCGCGCGGCCGAGCCGGAGCCACGTTTCTCCGCGCCAGCGTGGTTAGCGCTTCCCGGCGGCGAGCTCCCTCGGAAACTGCGCACGTGTGGGCAGCCTTGGCCGCCGCCCTGCACGGACCAGAGGACACCTCTCGCCGCGGCTCGGACAGGGGGCGCGCCGGCGGGAGCCACGAAGAGCTGGGACCCCCCGAGCGCTACGGTCGCGTGGGCAGACGTGGTAAGACTGTGCAGAGCTGCAGCGATCGCTTCCTCGGGCACTCCGCCGCCGCCGCCGCCGCCGCCGCCGAGAGCAGGGGCGCTCGCCAGTTCCCCCCACCGCAGCGCCGCGAGCAGCCCGCGGCGGAGGCTGCGGTGCGGGGCGCCGGCGGGAGCACCCCCGTGGGCAG